CCTGACTGGACCACCCGTTCCTTGATCATCTAACTTATAAACCAATAAAAAGATGTTCACCTTTACAAGTGGTGAGAGTGCACACTGACTCCAGTTTTCTGGACGGTGATTTATCAGGATGTATTAAAAACCTTGAAAAAGTATATTCTTAGGAACAGCGAGTCCATTGCTAGAAAATTAGATGACCACACCAAGATGTATGTTTAAGGATTTTCGCCGAAATGTTATATATACATTGAAAACAATTAAAACAGCAAATGTCCATTAATATATAAATAATGGTACATATATACATGCACGTGTGATGGACTTTTATGTAGCCATTCATATATATATATGTATATATGTATATAACTAAATATTAATAATAGCATATCTTGGTAAGCAAGTTACTTGTTAATGCTTATTTTCTTATGTATGCTATTCTGTGGTTTTTAAATTAATTTCAAAAGTCATATACAATTTTTATCCCAATACAGCAAATCTATTTTAAAAACATCCTGAGAAAATTGTATCTAGAAGTTCAAGGTAGCCTCAAGGAGATTAAGTGAAGCAAGAAAATGCAAAGTGTCACCTAGGAAAGTGGCCTCCACAGGGTGTGGGAATTGATTCTAGCCTCTAAGAACTTGGTTAAGGCTGGGTTTGGTCAACCTGAAAAGGATGGTCACCTTGCTGGTCTGTTTCTGAGTGCCGTGGTGGCTGCATTCAGAATTAGAACATATAAGACCGGCACTTTCTACGCTATAAAATGCTGTGAAAATGTAGGTTGCCACTCACAGCACAGGTGGCCTCTCCATGCTGCTGAGATGGGATTTAAGGCATCCCTGGGACCCCAACGAGCCAGCAGGGTCCTTGATGCTCGTGATCGGGCTGCTCTGGCGTGTAGTTCACATTCAGACCTCTAGCCATCCTTGGGCTCTGGGCTGACACAGCACAAGGTTTGGTGCCCAGAACAAAGGTTTGGGCATTGTAAGACATGGGTTCAAATTCTGACAGACCCAGTCACCACCTCAGGAAACCTGGCAAATTGCTGTAATTCCTCCCCTTGGAAATGAAAAAAATTTTAATCCTCATGTCACAGGAGTGATTTGAGGCTCCAGTGCAATGGGGTATGTGAGAGTGTTTTGTAAATGTGTATTCTCCAGAGCTGGGTTTGTGTATTAGAGAAGTAGTATCCATGCTAGAAAGCACAGGCATCCCAGTGTGAACCCAGTGGCCACCTGTAGTCATAGGAACTTGGCGATGCTCTTAAACTCTTTAAACTTTTGTTTCCTCATCTACAAAATAAAAATTTTAATATTTTCTTCATAGTGTTTTTTAATGAGAATTAAATGAGGTAGTAAGGTAGGGAAGAAAACCTAAATTTATTGAACATCTGCTTTGTGCTTGTATATAACAGTAACACACACACACACACACACACAAATATAAGGCATATATTTCCTCCCAAATTACCCTTTGATATAGAGGGCTTTGCCTCACATTCAGATCCTTACAATGTTTCTTATATTACGGGATATTCTCTCAGCTATTTTATTTGTGGAAAACAAAGTACCATTTGGGAAAGACGCACTTGACCAAAATGACTCAGTGGATGTTGGTTTGGGGCAGGCAGAGGTCATCTGACAGAATCTGTGAAACAGGAGACATGAGCACTGACTCAGGAAGCAACATTCCGGGGTGGGTCACCCACACACGGGGCGCCCAATCGTAAACGCGCCTCTGCAAAGGGGGTTACCTAGCACTCCCCATAGCCTTTGTGAGATCATTTCTTTGGTATGATGAACAGTGTCCAGCCTGGTGATCAGTTAAGAATATTGTACAGGCTCCACCCCCTTCCATTAATAAGACAATAGAAAGTGGCCAGTCTATGCCTGCCACCAGCCCTGTGGTCCTCTGCCCCCAACCCAGAAGTGCCCAATTCTCTCCTAAGAATATCACCACATTTGCCCAGTGCCAGTCTATCAGGCACCCTGCTCGCTGGACTGCCGGGGCCAGAGTGGGTCCTCCTGAAACTACTCAATGAGCTGAACGGCTACTTTTGAGCTTTCTTGCCAACACATGTGTGTATGCCTGGCAGGGTACAGTCCAACATTTTGAGAGAGGAGGTTTATAGTTCTCCACATGCCTCTAACCTCAAGAGGCTACCAATAGTTACCAAAAGAATCTGATGTTTCCTGAATAGCCAAATGTGCTCAAGTCAGAAGATAATGTCTGTCTCCCCCTGCCAGACCATAAAGTCCTTTAAGGTAGGGACTGGGCCATTTTTGTTAGCTTCAAATGCCTAGCATAGAATAGTACTTCATTCAAAAGTATACATAGGAGGCAAACACGTTTAGTGATTAAAAGGGTTGGATTTGCAATGAAACTTCTAGTGTTCAATCCTGATTCTTGCAAACAGTGAGAGACTTTGGGGACGTTACTTAATTTCACTATGCCTCAGTTTCTTCTGTAAAATGGAAATGGTGACAACAGCATGATATACTTCATAGAGCTCTGATGTAGATTGAATTAGTAGACATGCAGAGCTCAGAACAATACTTGACTTTCTATTCTCATTATGTAAGAGGTCAGACAATTAAGTTCATGAACTCATCCTAGAAAAAGTGCTCCATACCTCATTGCTGAATATCACTACAGTCACCTTTGAAGTGCTCCCCTTGGGAAGCTATGCACCAACGCCAGTGCCTAGTTTACCCTTCAAGGCAATTTTGGAACTCTTTTTCTGGAATGGCCATCAGAACTGTTGTTGTATTACTCTTGGTGTCCTGAATGTCATCCAAATGTCTTCCTTTCAATATTTCCTTTATCTTCAGGTAAAGAAAGAAGTCATTAGGGGCCAGATCAGGTGAGTAGGGAGGTGTTTTAATACAGTTATTTGTTTACTGGCTAAAAACTCCCTCACAGACAGTGCCGTGTGAGCTGGTGCATTGTCGTGATGCAAGAGCCAGGAATTGTTGGTGAAAAGTTCAGGTCGTCTAACTTTTTCACGCAGCCTTTTCAGCACTTCCAAATAGTAAATTTGGCTAACTGTTTGGCCAGTTGGTACAAATTCATAATGAATAATCCCTCTGATACCAAAAAAAGGTTAGCGACATCATTGCAACAAGTTTGTGAACTTAATTGTCAGGCCTCATATGTGTAACAGGTTTGTTATATAGGTTAGCAGTAGTCATTCAGGGCTCTGGTAATTGCATAAAAGCTCTGTCCAGGCCAGTTATTATTGTGCAACCAGTTGCCATGAATCTACTACTGCGTCCAAGAAATATTTCCCTGTCAGTGAATCCACCTGCCTCACACACTAAGCCACCCTGGCAGGGCTGGAGGCAGTCCACACAGTCAGCCCTTCTATTTCCTGTTCCTACTTCTTGGCACAGGCCAGCAGGACGCTTTCTGAGAAGGCCGCCTGGGATCCAGTCCCAAGTCATTCCTAGTGGGTCCTCTGTTTTCTACACTAAGTGACCTCCCCTTCGGGATGTTGACTATGACAATCTTCCTTTGCTCTGTTAGATCTCATTACTTTATGCTCCTCCTTCCCCCACCTATGCTCAGTGATTCCCAGAGGGTAAACTGGGATGAGAAGAGGGTACTTGTTGAGTCTTGGAAACTAATAGCGTGTCCCGTTGGGGTTGGGTTTGGCAATTGTTCCGAGCTTAGACTGACATGTGTATGTAGGACTTGCCTGTTTGCGGCATCACATGGGTTTCCACATGCATGCCCAGGAGCACAAGCACACAAACACAGATGCATGTTAAGGGCACACACACTGGTGCACACCCACATGTGTTCACAGGCCCCCCCCTCTTCCACACACAGCTTCCAAACGTCTCCTGAACAGACCTGGCATAGGGAGAGGAGAAGGGAAAGCAGTCCACTTCAAACCTCTCATGACATTTGCTTCTTATTTGTTTTGAAGAATTGAGGCCCCTTACTCACATTTAGTCTCTCCCTCTCTCCCTTCTTGACCCCCATCCGTTCCTCCTGCACCCTGGGAAGGCTCCGACTTGTGTGTGTGTGTGTGAGTGTGCACTGCGCTCAAGGGGTGACGCACGATAAGTGCAACACTGTAGACCCTTCGTGCCTGGGCAGGAGGAAGTCAGAACATGGTCCTGCCACACTGACTATTCTCCCCACTGACTCTGGGGCTATGGTGGTGAGGACGGTCCCAGGGGAAAGAACATTCCAGACTTGAGGGCTGAGATCCCATCTCCCCAGGACTGGTGTCTTTATCTTGGTAGCTGCTTATCTCAGGAGACTGTGCCCTTGGGCCCCTAAGTATTTAGAGGCTACTGCTTCCCACCCTTGAGATGGTCCCCCTTATTAGGCAAATCCTTGTTAGGCTCATACCAAACACCCTCTAACTGGCGTGGCTTGTCTTACATGCCAAGACAGCGACCACAAGCATGGGGTCCATCAGCAGGAGGAAGGCCCCTCCTCCTTGTCCAAGATGATGACAAAATGGCCCTACTCATTCCACACAAAGGAGGCTATTTATAGTGCGTCTATGGCCACCTAGGTGTGTCTCTATGAATAGAACTTTCCAGAAAAACCTTCTGAGCTGATTTTCTTATCAGTCACCTAAACAGTGATGACTGACACAGAGAGGCAAAGCTATATTAGCTTTCCACCAACAAGTAAAAGGCATGGCTGAAAGATTTGACGGGTGAGATGTTAAAGAGGTTGAGTAGGTAAACTCCTGGCCAGAGAAAAATGGGAGAGAAAGGCTGCACCGGTGTTTTCTTCTCCTCTAATTATGCACTGGCTTTGGCAAACAGAGTAGATAATGCAGGTAAAACATGTGCGTGGTGTGGTCATCAAGGAGGTGGGGGATCAATTTGCTGAGCTCAACGCACAGGGAGGCCTAATAAGCACAGCCCAGCACTTAGATTTCTGGAACCTCCCCCAAGTCTCTGCATCCCTGTCCCAAAGCTCTGTTGAGTTTAGTGATTTGTGTAACTTCTCTTCTTTCTATGTTTCTCTTCTCCCTATCACCCCCTCAGCCTGTGGAACTGCTGACATAAAATGACATCCCTGCAGCCAGGGACATCAGCCAGGGGGAGGCCGCTCAAGGTCAGTGAGCCCCTCGAATGACTGCATGAGGCAAGAAGACGAACACCCACAGCCCGACTCCCAGCACCTGCTCGTCGGGACTGTGATGGAAGCAGGCTTCCTCAGCCCACTGACTGGCTGGTTCAAAGGACAGGTGACGAGTGGAGGAATACAGCCTGACGTGAAAGGGACTTGGAGCCAGAGAGGAACATGGCAGACCTGAGAGCAAGAAAGCTGAAACACAGATGTTGTTGACATGTTTCCATGTCAACCGAGTGTCTTGGATCCAGGTGCTGGACTGACGGTGTTTCTGCAGGATGGTAGGGAAGCTGATGGGACCAGCCAGGCCAGGGCAGGCCTCGCTGGCTGTTCCGTTTTTCCTGGGGTCACCTTTCATGGAGCCTGTTTCCTCTTAGTCCACTGGTAAATCGTTACGGAGCCACAGCTGGGCTGTGTGAGACTGTCCCGCAGGCTTCAATAGCCTTGGACATGAAGGAGGCTGTCAACTCCTAGGATCAAACTTTGTTTGCTCGACTGCACCCCCAGGGGACCTCGGGCCTTCTTTCGCAGTCCTAAGCCCCTCTAGTGTGTCTGAGTGTTCTGAGGCTCCATGGTCAGTCCAGCTATGGAAACAGCACCCTGTCCTCTGTAAGCTGCCTTGTTAGGAGGTCCCTCACAAAGGTGTTGAACCACAGAAGTTGAGTAGATCAGGTTTGAGTTACACATGACCCTTTTCTTTCAGAGTGCAACCTCCTCCCACCAAAGGGGATAACTGGTGTGGAGTCTAACAAAAGCCACCCATGCCTTCCTCTCTCATTGTTTTTCTCCCCTGGGGTATATTCTCCCCAGGTAGGCACACCACCCTTCCTTTAAGTTGTCTTCTTTTATTTTCTACCCGCCACCCCACCCCATTACAGCTTACCAGTTGAAGAGGCCTACTTGAAAGAAATATGTTTTTGCAGAGGAATGGACCTCCAAGTACTGGCAAATGTAGAACAACGTGATTGCGCACGTGAGGAGGAGGGCCCGAGGGGAGGATGTGAAGGGGCTGGCATGGCAAGCGCCCTGGGACAGGCGAGTGGGGACAGTTAGAGAGCTGAGATGAGATTACTAGAGACCCAGGAGGAGGGCAGCCTATGTGCTTCCATGGCAACCCCGGCTTTCCTCTGAGCTGCCTCCCACAATTAAAGTGCCTTGTAATTGCTCTTTCAGCCATCTCCCCCACTAATCTATGAGCTTCAGAGACCTAAGCTTTAATCTCTGTATTCCCAGAACCCAGCTTAGTTTCTGATATATTACAGGTGTTCAAAACACAGAAGAGCGGCTCGCGCAAAGATCTAGGGGCAAAACAGGCAAACTGTGGGCTGGGACAGTAAACAAAATTGCTTGGTTTGAAATGATGGATACGTGTAGGCAAATGGCTCTTGTAATGGGGGGGCGACCCTTTGGTAGTTCGCCTTGAGTGCTTATATGTTGCTTAACAGTGAGGCGGAAGCTGAAATCAATTTGTGGGTGTGGATCCAACAAGAGAGCTCACGAATTCATTTGCAGACATTGTGTTTCGAATGGCTGGGTTGGGGAGAAAGGAGGAACTTGCAAGGTGTTGTTGGTAGTCAGCACGGAGATAGGCAGGTCAGGAGCTGAAGGAGCATTTGTGGAACAAAAGGATGGAGCAGAGAGGGAGGGTGAGTGGGCAGGAACTAGGCTGCGGTAAGTGAGCATCTAGAGACATGGTGGATTCATTCATTCGTTTGCTCCTTTGTCCATTTATTCATAAACTCATGGTGCTTTCCAGCATTGGGCTGTGGCAGCGCCCTTGCTGAGGGCTCCTCTGTTTGCTGTCAGGTGGCGGCTGCAGGCACAGCACAGCCAGAGGATGGACTGTGACTTCAGTCTGCACTGCTTCCTGTCCCAATCCTGCCTGCATGCTGCTCGGCCATTTATTTAACTTCTCTAAACCTCGCTCTCCTCCTCTGTGAGGTGGAGATGATGACATATCTGATCGAGTTATTGTGAGAACTGCCTGAGATAATGCACGGAGCTGACAAAGGCGAGCTATCACATGACAAACGAATATTTCTTAAGTACCTACCTATGTGTTACGCCCATTAGGATACCCATACAGGTAAGACCCATCTTGCCTCTAGCACCCCAAAGACAACTTTTTTTGTGGGGGTTGGGTATTTGTAAACTGTGCTGTGTGATATAATATGGTAAATGGTTGAATAGATGGGTGACTTAGTGTCATGGAACTCTGAGAGACAAACGGAGCGTTAAGAGAGATGCCACAGAGGAAATGGTAATCAAACTGAAAAGAAATAGACGTTGGGAAGATGAGAGGAGGAAGAGGAAAAGGCATTTCAGACAAGAGGAACAACTGTGCAAAAGGACAAAGGAGAACGACATGCCTCCCTCCCGGGGCTTTAGGAGTGGACTCAGGCCCCAGGGCCTGCATGGTAAGAAGGAAGCTCTCGAAAAATCAACAAACTCTAGTTTTCTCCCCACCTTTGCTAAACCCCAGCTGTATCTTCTCTAGACAACTTGTAGCTCAAACCAAGAAAATGGAGGGATGTCTCGCAAAAGAGGAGAGAGAAGGCGAGGGCTCTAAGACCAAAGCTTTTATGACCGTGGTTGATGAGCCAATAAAGGGAGATAAAGCACGCGTCTGCAGAGGAAGCCAGCAAAGGTCACGCAGGGTAAAAAGAGCAGAAACAAGGAGGTTCATGTCACATAGGTTAGGAAGGAAATGTCTCAGGAGTGAGTTTGGACAATTATAACAAATGTAAAGAGAGGTAAAAAATGGAAGCACATTGTTAGGGCTGCTTCTAGTGGCTTTCTGCAGCCGACTCAGGGGTTTCCATGGTAACAGCTGTGACCACTCTAAGAGGCTGTCTCTCCAATGTTTGTGCATGGCTCCAGAGATGTTTCTTCTTCCCCTGGTATCCCCACTGTCCTCTGTACCCCATCAGGTCCATGGTAGAGGTAGGTCCCAAAGAGGTGGGAGCAAGAGGGCACGCAGCTCTACCCATAGCCACCCCACAGACCAGCCACTCTCCCAGGACAGTCCTTTTCACTGAAACCTTCTGACCATCATGGTGTCCATGCAGGATGACCCTCTTCATGAAGGACAGTTGCCTTCCAACCTGGAGTCAGCCTCAGGGAGGAATCTGGTAAAACCAAATTAAAACAAAAATGAAGTCTTTCCCTGTCATTATTGCAGCTGGGATTGGTCTTCAAACTACCCATTTGTACAATTCTCCAAAAGATGACCTTAAAGGACTCAGACTTCAAATATTTAATGACAAATAAATATGGTTGTCAAGATAAAATCTTATGAGACTGGATTATTCAAAATTCACTGGGAAGTAATGAGACCTCATTAAACTCCTGAAATGTCCATCTATTCCAGAACCTACAATAAAACTCAGGGAGCTTACAGTTCCTAAAAACTATAAGAGAGTAGGCTGGCCTTTGCTTGACTCGCATGACAGCGTAGAAGAATGTGGACTCCCTTTGACTTATTTATAGCTGAAACCCTATAGAGTGGACTAAAAATAGAAGCGACTCCTGAAAGGACGGTAATACAATGGAGAAGACAAACATGGCAGCAGATTTCCCTTTTTCTTGCCTCCTTTTTGCTTCGTCCTTTGTAAAACTTCGTGAATCGAATCTGAAGAGCTACTCTAAGATAGCAGTGTAAGTGACCATGCTAACGGTAAATGCCCTTTTGGTTGGTCAGTGCTTTAAAACTTTGAACAAAATGGACTTAAGTAAAAACCAAAGATGGAAGGAGATTGTAATATAATTTTGCTGGATAAATAAAGGCAAAAGCAAGTGGTTAAGGAGGAAGTGGGTTGTCGGGAAAAACAAGTCATCGCTAAGGGACCGGCCAGCCGAGCAGGAAAGCTGAACTCTATGCTTGCGTAAGAGGAGCTCTCGACTCTTTCCGCATCAGGGACTGGGCTGTGTGCTCACTGTCGCTCTTGTTCTGCTCGATCCTTCTCAGCCTGTGCCCAGTGAGACCTTGCTGGTTAGTCACCAAATCCTAACCCAGCATCTGCTCATTGCAAAGCGGAATGCTCAGCACATGGGAGTACAGAAAGATGGACGGTACTCTAAACCCCCTGCACCCCTGCATCTTCACCTACCTCAGAGACCCGCAGACTGGGTGAGGGCCCCCCTTACCTGCTTGTACAACACCCCAAGTGCCTCTTTCCCCATAGCCATCACTCTTGTGTTACTTGATCAACACCTGTCTTCCTACAAGTGGTAAGTACACTCCACGAGGGCAGTGACTCTTGGTGGATTGATCCCACCTGTGTGTATATGGAACATCTAGTGTTCTGCCTGACACACAGAGTGGGTCTTCAATACATAATGAATGAATGAATGAATGAATGAATGAATGAATGAATGAACAAGCAGTGGAAGAACAAATACCATTTCTAAGCTGTTGAGATTATGAACTCGTCCCCCTTTTGGAATAGCAATGGAAGAATGTCATTCAAATATCAGCTCCCTCTCCCCTCCTTCCTCTTCCCTTCTTCCTTCTTCTCTTACTGCCACATGCTACACTCCTCACCCCTCCCCTCAGCCCTTCAGATATTAAAATGACAGCATCTACAACAAGCAGGAACTGCCCTCGGAGGAGGTGGTGGCCGCGATGTGGCTGGACAAGCGCAGCCCGCGACCCCTGCTATGCTGCATGGGGCTTTTATGTAACAGGAGCATGTCGACTGGCGCGCTCTCAGTTTGGAAAGAGAAGCCATGCCTTGTGGTGGCTTTGAGTTCAGACCAATTTTTCGTAATCTTTAACGATGAAGAGCCCTTGTAGGCAAAGCAAGTCGAAGTGAGCCTGAACGCTTGGCGCTCTATGCAGGGTGGGAAGAAGGCAGTGCGGTGATACCGTTTAGAAAGAGACTTGGTAATGGCTGTACTGGAGAGCCGACATTTGCAGAACTCAGTTGTGTGGCGTCCGACTGAGTAAGTTAGCAAAATAAAGACAGATGGCAATGGATTAACTCCAACACACCCACCAGACAATGGCAGCCAACAGAACTGCGGGGGGCTCTAAAAAAGCGCTTTCTGGGATAGCATGCCCACGGCCTCCAGGAGATGCCACCTAGTGACTCACCAAAACATTGCATCTTGCGCGACCTTGCGCTCTGAGGACACAACGGAAGGGGACTGTGCCATACGTAGATTAGCTTTGCTTAACTGGAAAAGAGAGAGGGAGAGATACCAACCAGATCATGGGGGACTTGAAAATTGATAGTTTTCTGTTAAGCTCACTGAGAAATAATGGTTGAATTCTGTATTCTGCCTTGTATGCTCAGAGGAACATAAAAAAGAAAAGAAAGAAAAAAAGAAAGAAAGAAAGAGCACAAATCCTGCAAGACAGGCAACTACCTTTCATCCAGAAATCCATGACCCAGAGATAGATTCACTTTATACAAATAAAACCTGGGCTAGTGAGTCATTTCAAGTGTCAGAGCCAGCCCCGTAGCAGAAGCTTTCTGAATGGTGCGGGGACTGTGAAGGTGCCACGCTCACAGCTGGGACCCTGTGGTCACTGAGGTTGTCTGCCATGGCTGCAGGCGAGGGGACCGGTGGTACTTGAGTCTGTATTAGACAACCGTACATATATCAGGCTATGAAATCTCCTAATTTGTTTAAATACTATTTTATTCAAAAGGCTCTGTGTTCTGACTGTCTGAGGGCAGGAGCTGAAATATGGTTAGAACATATAGAAAAGGTGACATTTTAACATCTAGAGGTGAAGAAGTAATATGAGCCCTTTCGTTAGGTGCTACCAAACTAGGGTTTCATTATGTACGCCCCTTCACTGTGGAAGGCATTGTTTGATTGGTAATTTGTACTGCTACCATATGTAATTTAGGGCTTATAGTCCTTGACTATGTGCCAAAAACTTGGCGGTGAAACTGATTATTCCTGCTATAGGATTTATTTTACAAGTGAAGGTCTAGGCAACTGACCCCAGGTGCCAAGTCATCGAGGAGGAACTGAGCTTTAGTTCTGGCCTCTCTCCATCACTACCTACCACACTGAGCTGACGCTATTTTTCTTGTGTTTCCCTGGAGGTCGCCTGGCCTGTGTTTGGGCCAAAAGTTCTTTTCTCTTTTGACCCTTAACACCCTTTGGTGACCAGTTCACAGTGTCAGCTGTGTCTGTAGATTTGGGGGGGCCTCCAGCCTGGAGGGTCAGGTACTTGTGTGGTGAACTGGTTTGACTCCAGCCAACAAAGTCCAGGTGTCCAGGGTGACAGCCTGAGTCCCCAGGTGCTACAATTCTGCCTTCTCAAGTAACTCTCTCTAGGGGCGCATGTCCTTTGAGCTCAATTGATTCGAGGCAGAAAACTGTACACGTAGACCCCAAATCCTGTTCAGCCTTGTCTACTTTGAATTCCATTAACACCCATTGATTAACTGAATGCTTACCACGTGCTAGGCACGGTGCCAGGAGTCAAAACCCAGAAGTCAGAGAAGGGGCTCTCGCTTTGGCACTGCACGCGGCGCGTCAGGTGCCTGTCTGAGAGCTCTGTCTCTGCTTTGGTCGGATGAGGATACTGGGCTAAAGTAAACCCTCTGAATTCCTCTCCCACTCTAATGTTTTATGGCTCGATGAAGAAAGAATTGGAGAATGTGAGGCTGGGTTTCAGGTTTGATTTCTTAAGGTATATTAATTGTCATGCATTTAGAGAGAGATTTTGAGTTCCCACTATGTGTCAGGAACAAATCTTGGCTTCACAGGGCTTATAACCTAGTGGGAGAGACAAACAGTAAACAAAATAAACAATATATGTGAACTGTAATGTGCCAGATGATGAGTGCTATGAAGAAATAAAGCAGAGTAAGGAGAGAGAGGGGAGAGTGACCCCGGAAAGCTTCTCTCTGAGAAAGAGGTGTCTGTGCTGATGGATGGGAGGGAGAGAGCTTCGTGGGATCTGGGAGAAGTGAGTCCCAGGCAGGGGTAGGTGAAGATGTGAGGCTGGCTGTGCCTGAGGAACAGCAAGGTACCACTTAGATGAATAGTTTATCCATCTCCACTTGTGGCCAACCCACCCAGGGTGCCTAAAAGGGAACCCCAAACCTGCTGGTGAACATCTCCTCTGTGCCAGGCACTATTCCAGGGGTTTCCCCAAACACAGAGATGAAAAGAAAGCACGACCTGTGCAGGAGAATTTTGCCTATCAGAGAAGAGCCAGCCATGTATAGATAAAACTACCTAATATTATGGAGGAGGCGCTATGACTGAGATCGGGGCTGAGGGAGATGGAAGCTCAATGAAGAAGGTGACATTTAATCTGGGTCTTCGAGGATGAGGTGGAGTTGACGGGCCGAGGATGGGGTGCTAGTGTTTGCAAGGGCAAGGCCACACAGAAAGGCAATGTGTGATTGGAGATAACGAGTAGAGGTCCGGTTGATCTAAACATAGGGCAACAAGAAGCCAGTGCCAACACAACCAGAAAGACTTTTTGTGCTTCCTCTGCTTTGACATATTTTCACGTTTTGACTTTATTCTGTAGACCAGTGGTCCCCATAATTCACTCTTAAGGACTCCCTTTATATACAGTCTTTTCAATGGATCACGTCTTCATAGGTATCTTTTCAACCCCCCTAAATACTGTAGTTATTAAGAAGTAACGGGTTTGTTTCCCATTTCAAAAAGTCATCCAACCTCCATAACTTCCAGTCAGAGCCACAGATAAGCATGAGCTATGGCATGCTACCAAACTGGGTTGGTAAAATAGTATCAAGAGAAAAGGAGCTCTCCTATTTAATGAGCCATATCATGGGGTGCACTGCTGCATCAGACAAAACCCCCAAATCTCAGTGGTTTAACACATGAAGCTTTATTCTTGCTCAAGTGAGGTCCACTGTGGCTGGAAAGCCCCCCCTCCCCCATGTTGCAGCAAAGTCACTGAGAACATTTCTTCCAAGGTGCCTGTGTCATGGGAGAGGCACTCTACCTCAGCCTGGAAGTGACATTGTTACTTTTGCTCACAGTCATTGGACAAAACTAGTCACATGCCCCAACCTAATGGAAAGGGAGGCTGGAACACGTGGGTATGCACATGTAATGTTTGTTCATCACAAACAGCCTCTGCCATGTGGCAGAAATGTGCAGTTTTGCTCCTGGGCTTTTGGAGTTCAGAGGAAGCTTCAGTTGAGAACCGCTGCTCTGGCAAGAGCTAGCAGGGGAATGACTGGATGGTTTCTTTCTCTGCAAGACCACACAGGTAGTAGTTCTGAGTAGGCTGGAGGCAGGAAGGCCAGTTAGGAGGCACTTGGTCC